GTTGTCTGAGAACACAGGGAGTTTCATTGCAGAGGTTGTCTCTACATAAAGTAGAGGAACAAACCCCCAAAAAAGGCTTTAGTCATCGAGATACCCCTACCCGAGGTAGAACAAAGCGCAACCATGTTTTTTCATTACTTTAACATCTGTAATATATGAAACGGATTGTTGTATACAAATATTTTACTGCAAAATAAAAAAAATTGGTTGATGTATGGAACCTTCCCATAACCGAAAATAGTGAACATGTAGGCTCCTCTGAAGGGGGGCCATGTCAACCTTATCACATGTGTCACTTTGGTTTGTATGTTCAGGGTGAGGCAAAGCATACACTAAAGCACATTTTGTACCAATATCTTTGTCCATCTTTGTAAAATATACAATCAAACACAGATACAATTTAGGCGGAAATGAAATTTGAAAGGAAAAATCCAAAAGGTATGTTTATACTTTTCTGTCATTATTAAAGTTAGGACACCAATCCCCAAAAAACCTTATTTATATGTACTAATAAAGCACATGTAGAGTACAGAAAAAACAGAGAACATGCATTGTGTCACAGACCTGCAAACAAAAACACTGTAGGAATTGACAACAAATATACATTATGAAACAAAAAACAGTAACCTGGATCTGTGCAAGTTAAGTCTTATAACTTGAGCAGGAAATAGGCATGAAGTACACTTTGGAATGACCTGCAAAACAACTAACGAGGATAACATATATACATTAGATGGCCTAGTACAGGCCAATTACACTGTCCAACCGTAAATAGCATGTTCTCCTGCCTATTTGTTAAGAAAAACATTAAACCAGTTGACCTGCGAACTAAATGGTTAAGATTTCATAAGAGACATCATCTTACAATTCTTATTTGCTTTTGCTCAGGTGGCCAGTCTGCTGGATAAGCTCCACTCCACGCGACAGCATCTCCATCAGATGTGGCACGTGAGGAAGCTGAAGCTGGACCAGTGCTTCCAGCTCCGTCTGTTCGAACAGGACGCAGAGAAGGTGAGGTTTTGGCTCTATGAAACCTGATGTACTTATAGGATTCTGTTTTCTTCAAGTTTGTATCTTTTTGGTCGAATGCACTTATTGTAAGTCACTTTGGTTAAAAGCGTCAGCTAAATGCAATGTAATGTGAGTTACACCTGAAGAGGAAATTCAATCATCTCTAGGAATAGAAGTGTAATATATCAGATCAGTCCGTTCTGTAAACTGAGTCAACACATCGTAATGAGGAAGTGGGAGCTACAATTATGTTTAAAGGCTGAACAAGGTTGACATTTTTTTATATTTGCCAACAATTTTATTTGTATTAATTAATTGTGTGTTCTATTTGGCTTACTTTTACTGAGTGGGTTGGATTGATTTAACAACAACGCCAACATCCAGTCTTTCATCTTTATGTTCATCCTTACCTCCATCTTGTTTCTCAACATCTGTTTGGTTTCCCTCCTCTAGTTCAGTGTCATACACTTTTTTTTTTACCTTGTGTCCTTCCCACATCTGTGTCACTGTAAATGTCTCTGGAAACTCCTCAGTGAACTGAATGAATTAGCCTGTTTATGTAAACACAGGAACTCAGTTAGCAGATAATCCAACAGAAAAGCAGCCGTCCTCTCTTCACCTAAACCAGCGATTAGTGATTAGCTGCGGTTCTGACTGAAAGCCTGGAATCCATTTTTCATGATCATAAACATCCCATTGACCGCAACATGCAGAAACATTTTAGTTTCACAGATGCTATTCATAGAAAGATCACACTCTCTGGTTATTCAGGTCATTGCAACTTCTAGAGTTTTTTTATTCTGTTGTCACCACTCCATCGCTAAAAAAGAAACTACAAAAGCATTTCATAATACATGTTACTTGTTAGATGCTTTTACCCAAAGCGACTTACATACTCAATACTGTGGACAATCCCCACAGGAGCAATTTGGGGTGAAGTGTCTCAGGGACACAACAACATGCTGACTGCAGTGGGGTTTGAACCTGTGACCTCCTGATCCAAACACCAACGCACAACCCACTGCACCACACGCCTACATAATGGAGTACTGCAAACCGATCAATATTCAATCCAAATCCAACTTTATTTTCATAGATCTTTTTTATACAAAACAGGGAACACAAAGTACTTCACAAACTAACATCTAAGGTATTATACAGAGTAACACATGTGATGAATACAAAAAAGTAAATACCAGCAGAAGTCCATAAATACAGTATTGAATAAAACAAGAAAAAATACAGTTCAATTAAAAGCCAAGTGGGTCTTAAGTTGGCTTTTAGAAATATGGATAGTCTTAGCCGCCTTCAGGTCTTCTGGGACGCTGTTCCACAATCGTTGGCCGTAATATGGGTCTTTGTTTTAATTTTTAACGAAGTAAATACAGATTATCCTGGTGACAAAGCTCGATGAGTTTAAGCAAGGACATGGATCCAGGATGGCTGAACCAAGTTAACCCACAGCCTCGCCTCTTACTAACAGAGATGTGTTTGGTGGAACCTTAAGTGTTGTTGATGGTAGTGCAGCCTGTACACACACACACACACACACACACACACACACACACACACACACACACACACACACACACACACACACACACACACACACACACACACACACACACACCGAGAGGCGTCAGCTGACTTGACGTGTTTTCCATACAGAAATCCACATGCAGGAGCCGTAAATATTTACTGTAAAGCAAACAGAGAAAATGAAACAGTTTTGTCCTCAGTGTTGTAATGCTGATGGTTTGTGGGGGGGGGGCGTTTACACCATGGGAAACAGTCAGCGCTCGCAGGGAAACAGTCAGAACTGACGAGGTGTTTGTCTGCGGTGAAATCACTGATGGAGGAATGACTGTGCAGTAACCATGGTAACCACACAGTCTTCACAATCGGCCTCCATCTGTCTGCGGAGATTGATTGAGACGGAGAAGCATGCGTGAAGGTTGTCCTGTTCTCTGAGGCTGCATCTGATCCTGTGAAGAGGGAAGAAGCCGACTAAAGACTCTGCAGTTCATGGTTTTAAAGAAACACTTTAAACTGTTTGTTAACCCCCTGGGTCATGTTTATGTTATTTTGGCCGCAGTTTCTCTCCGTTATGGAAACATTTTACTCACAAACCTGATTGTAGACACACACGGTTAGTCAGAGCCGCCGCTTGAAAACGCTAGACATAATGTTATGAACTTTGATACAAATACATCATGCGAAGGCTTATATCAAAGGATGAATTATAGTTTTTAGGACTCGCCAACTGTCGGTATTTGTGTCTGCTGATGACACGTTCTTCTGCACATGCTGAGAAACATTCACCAGCGTTTTATTACATTGCGAGACTTCATTCTTGATCTTGGAAACAGTCGTTTGACAAATAAAGCTCCTCTTACTTACGTTTAGAAAGTCTTAAAACTGTCAAACATCACAGTTTGAGTTCAAATCAGCTAAAGTTAGCATATATGCAATGCAATGGGATCAAATAAATGCATGTATAGCATAGTCTGTAATGTTATTAATATTGCATTGTGTGTGTGTGTGTGTGTGTGTGTGTGTGTGTGTGTGTGTGTGTGTGTGTGTGTGTGTGTGTGTGTGCAGATGTTTGACTGGATCAGCCACAACAAGGAGCTTTTCCTGCAGAGTCACACAGAGATCGGGCGAGGATACCAACACGCTGTGGAGCTGCAGACTCAACACAACCACTTTGCTATGAACTCCATGGTAACGTCGTCAAAGATATTAGCCTCATGACCATAGTTCTCAATAAGAGTTTACAATCTTTATCGACACACAGCCAGGGTCTGTGCTAGAACCTGTTTATCTTACCGTCCAAGTTCTCCCCCAAAATCTCAAATACATATTTGTCCTTGTTAGAGATATCCTGTAAAAATATAGCTTAGGAAATGCCTGCCTTCTGTTAAATACATTCAAACGATATGTCACTCAGCATGTGGTGTTCAAAGCAGTAGAGAAAATACATTTTAAACAAAAATGTCTTCCCTCGCTAACAGCCTTTTGTAAATGTCTGTATCTTCTCCTTCCCAGAATGCCTATGTAAATATCAACAGGATCATGTCGGTGGCGAGCCGCCTGGCAGAGGCCAGTCACTACGCCTCCACACAGATAAAACAGATCTCCACTCAGCTGGATCTGGACTGGAAAAGTTTTGCCGCTGCACTCGACGAGCGCTCCACCATCCTCGCCATGTCGTCTGTGTTTCACCAGAAGTCTGAACAGGTGAGATCGTGTGAACATAAATCTAAAATAGCTTTTCTTCTCAACAGACAGCTGTTAAAAGCAATCTGTGCCCAGTGTATCCTCCTATAACCTGTTGTAAGGACTTCCCGTTCACATCTCTCTCATTAGAGGGAACGCTGCTCCACTTACTGTGAGACTGCTGGTGCTTTGTTGCTGATTTGGCAACTATCTAATCTAGGAATCTCTCTGCAGCAGACTGCATCATGTCCAGAATGTAAAATGCAAATAGACATTTTTAGGCGTCTGATTATATTTAATAGATCAAACTGCTCCACAGCTGATTCTTGGAAAGTTGTCATGGCAACATATGAGGCTTGTTTGATTCCTGCTGGGCTCTTGACATCAGCTACAAGTGTACGACTGAGAGAGGGGGAGATGAAAGACTCAGAGAGAGAGAGAGAGAGAGAGAGAGAGAGAGTGGTGGCGGAGAGAAGGGATTTGCTGAGATAGACTAATGAAAAACAGGGGAACAAAAAAGTGTCAGGATGAAAGATGAAAAGATGAAAGATTGGAAGAGAAACACAAGGGAGAGAAAATTGGCAAGTCTGCTTCGAGAATAAGAATTAGAGTGTGAAAATGAGAGGTTTAATGAGGTAAAGGCTTCTCTTCATCGGCAGACACATTAACCCTAAATTACCTCAAAAATAGCAACACTAACATCCTTTAGAGTGTTCATTCATGAAATGTATGTACCCATTATGTAAAGATGTCCCAAGAGTGGTGTTAGAGAAAATATCACATATTAATTAAAACCAAAAGGATTTGAAGATGGGATTCTTTTTTTAATCGTGTGACCTAAAATTGAGTTTGATCAGATACTCAAGTTTATGAATGCTTAATAATCCTCACACAACCTCTACATGTATCTACAATAGCTGATATCAATAAAGACAGAGCAAATTTAAAAGAACAATAAATGAAAGTATGTAAGTGGCGGCTGAAATGCATACAACGCACACAAATGGGAAACATGTCCCAGTGACTCACAGTTGCCAATACACATGGAATAATTAGAATTCATTGCACAAGGATTTATATATACTGTACGTATACACCAAATTGAATGGCATCCAGCCACCATTCATTGGCTAACAATCAGAAAAATGAGTCCCAGGACAGATGATTGTGAAATGGTGAAAGCATATTAGGAATGTGCAGAGCTGATAGATCAGCAACTGTAAAGGTAGAACAAAGTCAACATTGCATTGGTCATTTCCTGAGTATTCATTCATATGTTTTGTTAGTTTCAATCCCATATGAAAACCCACATTTAAAGATCCCATATCATACGGTTTTTCATCAATATATTACAGGTCTCAGATATACACAAAACATGTCTCTGAAGTGTTTGTCTGAAACCCAAAACAGATCATTGCAGCATCCCATAATCCCCTCTGTTTCAGCCCTGTTTCCAAAGTGATGATTCTCTGTCTGTTACTTTAGATGAAAATAAGGAGCCCCTCCCCACGCCCCTCTGAGAGAGATTTGGTTAAAAAGAACACAATGGTGCTCGAGGAGGAGATTCAGGTGATAAGGTGGGGGGGGGGGTTGCCTTGGTTGGTGATTGGCTAATGGTTACACAAGC